TATATATATATATATATATATATATATATATATATATATATATATATATCTATATTATCTCTAGATTAATATTGTCAATTAATCGAATAGACAAAGGTGCATAGAAGAGTTGAAGAGAAATTTATTGAACGTATTGAAGAGAAAATTATTACAAGTGACTAATTTTATTTCCCTCACTAATATGAGCAAGATACAATTTTTCTATTATTCTTTTAAAATTGATATTCCTTTGCTATATTCCAAGATGTTTAAGGCCGGTTCTACATTAGTTGCAAATCGCAAGATCGTAAGAAAATTTACTAATCGATCGTTTAAATAAAAAATTTACAGTCGATTGTTCTTCTTACGATCGAAGAATTGACTGTGATTGGTCAATTTTCTTGCAAACTTGAGACTTGCAACTAATGTAGGACGACTCTAAAGTATATACCGTCAGACTGTGTTTCCGGTAACGTCACTTATGACGTAGTTCACGTTATCAAACTGAACTAATGCAACACAATCGATTACCCACGATATATCGCAAAATGCTCCTTGGTATTCTTTATTCAATGCAGAAAGTCCTGACGCTGCTGCACCGATACGCCCGTGTAGCTTTCGGTTCGCCGCGCCGTTTGGTTTTCCGCCCGTGACTCTTTCTTCGCCCGTCGACCTCTCTCCGAGTAACAATACGCGAACCTTCCCTCCTGTCGTGTTCCTCCCTCTTCTTTCTTTTTCTCCGCGATCTCACGGTATCATAATGCGGCGGAGAAAGGGACGGGGGAGAAACTCTCTGCGACGCGTTTTGTTTACTTCATTCGATTCGTACGCACGTCGAATGTCCTCGAGATCACCGGCGAATCGGGCAGCGGAGGGTTAAAAGGCGACGACGAGGGGGAGAGTGGGGAGGAAGGTGAAGTCAACACGCGACGTCACGTCCGCCTCTCGCTTGCTCGTTCGCTCGGTCGGTCGTCTCACGCGAGAGAGGGCATGTTTATTCTGCTCGTCGGAGAAATTTCAGACAAACTCACCCTCGTTTTATCCCCCTCGGGAAGAATCAAGGAGTCCGACTGCGCGCTGCTGCGAGCAAGCAGCCAGCCAGCAGGTCGAGGATTTTACTGGCGTGCCGTGTCGCGCTCGGCCGAGGATGAAGGATTTCCGGCGCCCGAGGAGATCGAGGATGTTTACTTCGTCAACTCCAGAGAGATCCGCGTCTCGCATGAGACTGGCCGATCGCGAGGGCGTTAGGCGTAATCTCGGCGAATTGCGGATACGCTGCAGCGTCGCGTCGATTGTTCTTATCTTCCCGATGTATGTGTGTGCGTGTGTACGCCCGCGCGCGTTTGTGTGTGTGTATTGTATATGCATTAGTCCTCAGATATCTCCTGATGATATCCACGGCCTCCAATCGCTCCGAGATACAACGTCTCGGACTTGAAAGACCCGAACGGTTTGAGACTCGAACTCGAGAGATCTGAGATTGTTCGAAATTTAAATAGCGTTCGAGCCTAAAGATTCCATGTGTCAAGTCCCGATATTTTCACTCTGAATATTTCTCCGAGTGAAATTCCGCTCAAAAAGTAGAGCGACAACGAGCCCGCTCGAGGTCGAGTGACTTTTTACTCGCAAAGAGTGAGAATTCCTTCCCTCTGAATCGTCGAGCGAATGCTTTCATCCGAAATTCTTTCCCCTCTTTGAATTCTTCACTATCACCTGTTATTCAATAAGAGTAATAAGAGTAATAACGAAATACTTTATTACGTACTGTCTATTCTTTAAAACTGAAGGGAATGCTGCACTGTTATTGGAACAAATTCGCCCTAATTGTGAGCGAAACTTTTCACTCAAAATTCTTTCCCCTTACGTAAATGAAATCTTCATTTATTACTTCATAATAGTAATAATGGTAAAATATTTTATTACTTATTGTTCAAAATTGAAGAGAATCTGTCTGTGACACGTTTCGCCGTGATTGGCACCAATTCAGTCCAATTGAATTCGGCATTAAAAATTCACTCGACCACTTGGAGTCGTAAAACATTCATCCCTGCGATTCTGAGCGCCGGTATTTGCAACATTATCGATTCAGGGAAATTTCCTCCCGAGAAATTTGGAGAGTAACGATCGCGCCGGTTCCCAGGCGTCATCGTCTGACTGACTTGGCTGACTCGCGTGAGATGCCAAGCGCCGGTTACCGAAGCGAAGTGCTCTCGTGCGGAGAGATACGGCAGTGCGCGACGCATTTTTTGGTGTTCTCTCACGGGTAATAAACCCGCGGGATGAAGAGTCGCGAGGGACCGAAGGATAATAGAAGAAGTCTCGGGCAAGGCGATCCCCGGGGCTCGCGCGAGAGAGAACAGAGATCGCTGTTGTTGCATATTCAACGCGCTCGTCGATATCCAATACACATCTCGATTTACTTCAATCGCCACCGGCGAAACACTCAGAGGAGCGTTCTTTTTCGCGGTTCTTCCCTCTCACCCCTCGAGAGAGAGAGAGAGAGGGGGGAGAAAGAAAAAGAGAGAGAGATCCTCTGAAGAGAGATCCTTGAGTGAAAAGATGGGGTCCCCCCGGGGGTGTGTTCCGCGGTCTCGCCCAGAAACTACCGGCATGACAGCAGTGTTGGTGAATGATCATCGGCCGGCTCGAGACGAGTGTAGAGATGCGACGGACTATATCGTCTAAATGGCACCTAATTACGCAAGCGAATGTACCTAACGAGAAACGGCAGTGCGCGGTATTTGGTATATATCCTTATACAACAGACACGCGCCCACACAGGCATACACGTGCACCCACAGACAGGCCACACACATACCACACCCAGTCATACACGCACGTACCACACGCAGCGACGCGCACGTGAAGCAAGTACGCGCGCGTGTTGTGCGGAGACACAATGTGTGTGACACCTGTGTGAACCTGGCAGCCGACTTTGAGAGCTTGATTTTTCTATACAGAAAGTTGGCGTTCCTTTTGCAGTTGTTTGCAGTAACAATAATTTCGCTTGTAGTTCCATCTAAAATTACGGGAATTTAAAAAAATGACTCCACAAGTCTTGTTTGGAGTCGTTTGTAGCTGTCTGTAGTGCTTTCCGTTTCGTTTGTAGTCGAACTGTTGAGAAGTTATGTGAATTTAAAGAATTACAAAACACGTAACTTCAACTTTGCTCTGATGCGATTTTCAAAATTATGTATTTATCAACGATACTTTCGCAGAAACTCAAATCGATCATCTCCAGTTTAGAGCAACACAATAAGAAACCGTAACATATATCTAGCGTTAAAGATCGAGCACCCAATAGATCTAATTGTTGCAAGTGTTGGCACAGCAACAAAGGTTCCAAGTCGCGATCCGTGATTATATTTGACAATTCTTTAAATTGCATAAAAAAGAAAATGTATCTCGACTGGTTTACGGGCTTCAAAGGTCCATTTAAGGAGATAGAGAATTTAAATTGACATAACTTCTAAATAGTTCAACTATAAACGAAGCGAAGAGCGCTACAAACAACTACAAACGATTCTAAATAAAACTGCGCAAGTACATTTGTGATATCTTAAAGTTGGATTCGAGTCATTCTTCAAAATTTCTGTATTACTTAATGGATGGAACTACAAACAAAATGATTTTTACTACAAACAACTATAAACAAAATGCTAATTTTTGCGAGAAAAGGTTCTTAAAAGTCGGTGCCAGGTTCACATAGGCCACACTGGCGACGTTGCGGTAAATGCGGTCTAGGGGAAGCCCGACCCGCGTTTACCGCAAGTACGTACGACCCACGACCGGACTCTGACGCGATTCCAGAAAAGACCCACAGGATTCGCCTATTTTCTTCTGCTCTTCCCGCGGATCGAATTAAGTCGGCGTGAAAGACCCGTCGTCGACTTATATATTTATATGTGTATAATATATATATATATATATATTTTTTTTTTCTCAGCATACACAAAATTCTACTCACGATTGTCTGACGTATAATTGGCGCTCGTGACGATAACCAAAGCGACTTAACGCGGCGGCGGCGGGAACGATGGATACGCCATAAAAGCGACGGCAAAGGTGCGAAAGAAATGAGCAACACGGCAATGTTCAGGACTGGCAAGGGGCAAAGGAACGAAGAGCGGTTTATTAGAAGCGTAGACGAAGCTACTTCCGCTCATCACCGATGATAATTTATTCATTGGACGTTGTTCAGAAGTGGGTCTATGTGTGGGACTTGAACTTGGGACGCCAAACTTCGTCTACGGCACATCGCGGGGTAATAACTTTGATTTTAATTTAATTTTAATTCTCCGTGGAAGAGACGCGCATCGCCCCCGCCCTCCTTTTCCGTTTTCTTCCCCCTTTTCGGAAATTTTGGGAGGAATAAGAAGATCCGCAAAATGGAGCTAAAAGCTTATGACAACTTTGAGCACTCACCTTGCCCGGAAATTTGAAATCTCTTCTCGAAAATCGAGAATGTACACGGCGCGCTGTGAGTGTTAAGACTTCAAAGAGAAACATTCAGATGATTCTACATGGCGAAACCATTCGGAGAAGTGAGATAGTTTCGGGAAAGTCAATCAAGCGTTTAATAGACTCCGGTGAGAGTTAATTACCCTCTTCCTCACTCCCCCTCCCTCTCTCTCCGTGCGCGAAAGGAGAGCGAAGATCTTGCACGTAGACGCCGCAGCGTTCTTGGTGGATATCTGCTGACGCGATCGAATCGGCGGCGGACGTGTACACAGCGACGAGTCGATTCGGGAAATCCTCGTAAAATCGGTTCAATCGCCGTAAAACTCGTTACGACATTAAACAGAAGGGAAAGCGCGATAAGGCGCGCGAGGCTAGGTGCCAAGAGGCAGGTGGATATAGGTGACAAGGCGGGAAAAGCGGAGACGCGAAGGGAAGAAAAGGTTCTCGCGATCCGGATCACGAGACGCGACGAGGAGAGCGGAAAGAGGAGGACGAAGGGTTTCACGCGCGTCTCTCGAAGCGGATTTAACTTTAACTCGTCCCCGAGCTCGCACACCGAGCGCGTCAATAGCGACATCCTCGCGTTGAATCCAGGTCCGTTACTATTCGTCGCGCCGTCCTTTCGTGCGAGACGAGGTGTCCCCGAGATTGACGCAATATATCCGTACGTATGTCCTGGAAAACGTCCAACGGGCCTAAAAATCGTGCTGCTTACGACTCCCGCGGCGAAAGTAATTTCTCCCCTTCGTGGCAGGCAGGGTAAGGTCTGCGAGGAGAGCGGGAAGGGATTTATACGCGCATGCCGCGCGGCGCTTCGGAGTGCCTCCAAAGTACGTCGAGTCGATTTGTCCGGTCGGTTTCGCTATTTAAGTGCACGCACCCACACACACACACACACATACACACACAGGCATACACACATACACACGCGCGCAGCCAACCACCCAACGACAGTCCACTCGTCTCTCTCACACGACCGTTTCGTTTTAACGTGTACGTCTTCCCATTGACGCGCTGGGGGATATCAGGTGGCCGGGGTCGCCGGCTACCCTCCGCGTTTCTTCGGCTCGCACGTACAGCAGCCGCTTCTACGTGAAGAGGATAAACAGTAACGGCAATAGGGAGGCCGCGAGGACGGAACGGACTGCCTGGGCCGACGAGCTGAACCAGTTCGAGAGGTCGGAGCGAATATTCTTCTCGGGATGGCTGGACGGCTGCTCGGATGCCATCAGGTCCTCCCGCGAGGACTTCGGGCACGGCAGCTCCTCCATCTTCAGGTCGAACAGCCGCTTTACGTAGCACACCTTGCCGTTGCAGTCGGCCTGCGCATCAAAACGGTAGCGCCGATTTGGCGGTGTGATTGCTGCACGCGCGATCGGACTCGCGGCGGACCCGCGGACGAGATCTCGCTTTCTGACGAGTCCCAATCGGCATTGGGACAGTCGCGTTTCCGGTTCAGGATCGTTAGACGGGAGCGGGACGTCTCGTTTTCCCGCATTTATTCGCTGTGAATAATGCGGGACTCGCGGGATAATATTTAGATTGTATAAATGTGATTTAAGTTATTCATTTATGAAATAAATGCATTAAATAAAGTTCATTAAAGAATTAATTTCAATTGGAATTAAATTAATGAATAAGAAAATTTCAATAAAATCTAAATGGAATGTAACCGTTGAAAGAAAAATCCGGCAGCGCCATTGAAAATTCCAGGAACTCAAGAAACATTGCGATGGCGCCTGTTCAGTTTTAAATCTAAATCTAAACGAACTACCGTTAGTTTCGAAAGTAATTTAAAAGCCGAAAAGCGCGGTACCCTTGGAGCGCGAAGGCTCGATTCGAATGGACACGTTTGAGTTTGTTTCTCTCTATTTTTTCGTTTTCTTGTTATTAAATCCGTTCTATAGCGTGTGTACAGAAAAAGATATTAATATTCATTTAAAATTATTGTTTCATATATAAACAATGATTTTGTTGAGAGAATTTTGAATTGGAAATTTTGAATTTCAATACAATGTTGTAATTTTTTGGACACTCTAGTAGTCTCATAAGAAGTGCATCATAATTATTTTAATAGTAATATGATATTTCCTTGCAATATTTAAAAACACCATATTTTAAACCCAATATTTTGTGCTGAAATGAAAATGATTTTCGTATGGAAAAAAATAATTTGCTGGTCCAGCAAAAAAATTTATTAAGAATACTAATCACTATTTGCTGAGTATAATTTGCTGCATCTACAAATTATTTTGCTATAAAAATCATGATGGATTTATATAAGCAGTTGCAGTTTTGCTCCGATAGCAAATAAATTTGCTAAGGATACATTATTTTGCATCAAATTAACGTGATTCTTAGAAATACATTCAACAAATTTTTTCTATTCTAGCAACAAAACTACTTCTGCTCTGATAACGAATAATTTGTAAAATTAGTTACGTCAACTAAATTTTTTGATGACTACAAATATAGCAGTAACGACAATTTTGCTAAAAGAGCAAAATTATTTTTCTCCGTGCGAGTAATGAGAATATATTTTTCATTGTCGAATTATACAAAACGTGTCGATGCGAGCGACTAATCTTTGTCTAACATTAGGTAGTCTCATTTTAAGATTTACATGTCCAAAATACTTTCAAGTAATGTCCTTTCTTCTTATGCACGAGGCGGAACCGCCGATTGCGTTAAGTAGACGCGAGTTCCGTGACTGCGGCGCGTCCGCGCGAATTGCGAAATCGCGGCGATGGCGTGCGAGTCCGTGTAAACTAGCCACCCGCGATCGATTCGCCTTCCCATCGGGGCACGCTCAGGGGGTGCCACTTTAGAAAGTTAATGGTGGAATAAAGGGGCAGAGGAGCGCGAATGGTGTGTGCGCCTTCGTGTCGAGATCGATTACAGATACAATTAGGGCGCGTGCGAATACACCGCCGAGCATTCGAATTAGTCGATCCGCGTCTAATCAGCGTTGCGAGCTGGAATATTCATGAAGGATCGGGCAATTCGCGACTATCGCCCGGGAGTTTCATAACAGTGCGGCGCGTCGTGTTTCACGAAAAACGTATCGGTCGATCTTAATCAGAATTTATGTCGGCCGAAATTAAGGTCGCGGGTCTGCGTCCCGTGCTCCCTAACGAGTGGTGACCCTAGTCGAAAGGAAGAATTACGAGATCTCGTCCGCGAGACGGCGTCTCCGAATCGCAACACGGAAAAAAATTATTTGCTGCAGCAGCAAACTAATTTGCTACATATGGACAGTTAAATGTAATTCGCTGTGTAATTCTAGCTACTTTTTCTTTGCTGCAGGAACCTATTTTCTTGCTATGGCAACAAGAAAATCTGCTCCTACAGCAAGAAAAGTCGCTAACGCAGTAAATTTGCTACAGGATAACTAAACATAATTTACTGCTTTAGCTACTTTTTTTGTTGCAGATATCCTTGTTATCATAGCAAGGAAATTGGTTTCTGAAAGAAAAAGTGACTAACACAGCAAATTATGTATATTATGTTAATTATGCTATTATGTTAATTATGCAAATTATGTTAATTATGTTTTGTCCATATGTACACGCAAAAAAAATTTCAGTTGGTGCAACCAAATCGGAACCAACTGAAAATTAGGTGATCAGAAGCAATATCTCTGCTATGAAAACTAATATTTCTGTTGTCGCAACCGAAAATATTCGTCTGAATATTCAACGATATTAGAACTCGGTTGAGGCAACTGAGAACAATTGACTATACAGAAGCCTCATAAAGGAATTTTTCTGTTCCTACAGCCGAGTTTTCGTCTGAGCAACCGAAAATTCAGTTGCACCAACAGAATCATTTTTTCCGTGTAGCAGATCTTTTTTTTTTCTGTGAAGGTAAACGAAAAGAGCGTGTTTTACCTTGACATTGACATTCTGCAGAGGCGGGATCTCGAGCTCGACCTCTTCGTAATTCTCGCGGTCTTCCTCGTCGCGATTGCCGTCCTCCTCGCCGTCATTGTATCTCGAGTTGTCGCCGTTATTCTCCTCTGCAACACATTTCGTTCGCGGATTATGTTAAGTGCGGCTTGCAGCTTTGCCTCTCTCCCGCTGGTCCTCGATTGGTCTCTGAGACCTCGGAGGAGTTGTGTCGACTGAGAAATATATTCAGGCGGAACGCGATGGACACAATTTTAGTCCTCGCCTTTCGGCGATCCTCCGCGCAAGCACGCCCGCGAGACACGCGAACGGGAGAGTCGTCGAGTCTTGAATGAAAAATGCAACGCGATTTTCCTCGTGTTCAGTCGAGTCGAAATCCTGCTACGGTAGCCCTTAATTCTCCAACGTTTGCGGATTCTAATTTACGTGGGAATTGAACCCCTACTCTGCGTCTCGAACAAGCGGTAAACGGCTAATTTCCTCTTTCGAGCTTCAAAAGCGAAGCTTGAAAACAAAAACGACAGCTCAAACTCGAGCGGAATTTCACGGCTTTAATCTCTCCAGGAACATTCGTCAAGTTGGTAAAAAGAGCTTATATTTCAACAAAGCTTGTTTACATGGAGAGCCGGTAAAAGTAACTTGCACATCGGCACCGAATCTGTTTATATAGATAGTTGGACGAAACAACTTCTTTCCGTCAACGAAGCCCGTTCGCGTAGAAAGTCGGCGAAAATGAATAATTTGTATGTCAACGGAGCCTCCTACTTGTGTCCAGAATGTAATACCAGGTATGTAAATATGAAACCGGAGTTTTTATATAGAAAATACACGTTTATTGTATGAAAATGATAAAAAATATTTTATTCAAAGTATTGCCCATCGCTAGCTATACATTTTTCCCACCTGTCTGACAATTTGTGGATGCCACGCCAAAAAAACTGTTGCTCTTTTGAGGCAAACCAGTCATCGAGCCATTTTCGTACATTCTCGTAAGAAGTGAAGCGCTGCTTAGCAAGTGCGTGTCCCATCGATGCAAATAAATAGTAATCGGACGGAACCAAGTCTGGTGAGTAAGCCGCATGCGAAAGTATTTCCCAACTAAACGCCTCAATCGTTTCCTTGACCAGTTTTGCTGTGTGTGATGGTGCATTATCATGAAGCAAAATCACTTTGTGTTGCCTTTTTTTATATTCTGGTCGTTTTTCACGCAAAGCTTGATTCAAATCGATCATTTGTTGTCGGTAGCGTTCAGTATTAACGGTTTGGCCAGGTTTTAGCAGCTCATAATAGATCACACCCTTCTGATCCCACCAAACACAGAGCATTGTCTTCCGTCCATAGCGATTTGGCCTTGCAGTCGATGTCGATGATTCGCCTGGAGTTACCATAATCTTTTATGCTTAGGATTCTCAAAATATATCCACTTTTCATCCAGTCACAATTCGATGGAGAAATGACTTTCTTTTGTACCTGGCGAGCAGCATTTCGCAAGTGGTTTTTCGGTTTTCCTGCTGTCTTTCATTCAGTTCATGTGGAACCCATTTTCCCATCTTCTGGATCTTTCCTATGGCTTTCAAACGTATGGAGACGGCTTCTCGTGTCACATTTAATTGATCCGCGAGTTGTTGCGTTTGAGTGTCATCCTCATCCAACAATGCTTGCAATTCGCTGTCTTCAAACTTTTTCGGTGGTCTTCCACGTTCTTCGTTTCTCACGTCAAAATCGCCACTTTTGAATATTTTAAATCACTCAAAGCACTATGATTTACCAAGAGCATGCTCACCGTAAGCTTCGATAAGCATTTGATGCGATTCTGCAGCAGTTTCCTTCAAATGGTAACAGAAAATCAATGCTGTCCGCAAATCGTAGTTTCCAGGCACAAAATTCGACATGTTTAACGCTATTACAAACTATGCTGTTGTATGAAACTTGTATTGTTATGAGTTGAAAGTCTTTGTCAGAGATGTCAACAAGGAAATGGCGCCAATGACGCGGTTTGACGGTAACTACATTGACAGCTAGGGCCATCTATGGGCAAATTCCGGTTTCATATTTACAGACCTGGTAATTGAAAGTGAAACTTGGAACGAAGCAACTTCAAATAAATGACGTGAGAATGAATTGATTCTCCAGCAACACAAACGTAACACCTGTCAAACGTACGATTTCCCTGAGTTCCCTGAGTTCCCTGAGTTCCCTGTGCTATTCCACCGTTCCTCGCCGGAGAACTTCACGGTGAGCACTCAGCTCCCACTAATGCTCGTCACGTCCTCCTCAACAACGTTTGAATGTTCCAAGTCTAAACGTATCCGTTCAAAGCATCGAGGTGGACGTCGAGCTTTAAACGTTGAAAAATCGCGGTCTGAGGCGCGGCAGAAGCATTTTGATTCAGACGAACGTTTGATCTATGCGTCTTATATGACGCTTCGACGTTGCGTGAGTGTCGATTCGACGGAAGACCGGAAATCCTGCGCACGCGATTCATCTATCCTCCCTCTCTCTTTTGCTCACGCGAACGAGCGAACTTTTGGCACCGCAACGGAAAGCCGTCGCGGTGGAGGGAGGGGTGGGAGGGGGGGGGGCTGAGATCGAAACTCACCGGGATTCTGCACGATCTCCAGCGGCTGATTTCTTTCCAGGGCCAGATTCCTGTCTATGCCTTCGCCGTAGATCTTCTCCGTGGCGTTGTTGATCTCGTAGTAGCAAACGAGCCTTTCCAGCAAGAGCTTCGTGCGCACGTTGACCGTCTCGTTCCGCAGGCCCCAGGTCCAATTGAGTTTGCAATCGCAGGACAGCTTGTTGTCTGCAAGTAGATACAGACGCGCGCTGGTCAGATCAAGTCTCATTACTTGGTGCGCTCGCGCGGATCTCGCGACCTCGTTATCGCCGCCCTTTATCGTTCTTCCTTCCCTCGAACTCGAAATCTCTCTCGAATTACGGTATATTCGTCGCCCTTAACTAGTTCCCGCCAACTCCCGCCAACACATAGCAGAGATTAATCTCTTAGCATGAAAAAAATGACATTTTTTAATTCTTTGTCTGAAATATTTTAATTATCCTTTACACTATCGTGGACATTCCAGAGTATTGTGAATTACAAAATGTTGGGGATGACATTAATCTACAATGCTGTGCATTGCAAGAAGAGTTTGTCTCTCTTTTGGAGCATTAAGACGCGCTGATAGTCATGCTGTTTGTCAACTGGTTGCTGTGTACATAAGGTATTATTTGTGATTAGATGATAAAAAATGGCATTAGTATCGTGGATTATTTCGTATTGAAGAGCGTACTGGATCACTGCGCGACGTCGTCCCGAAGGAATGTTCACCGAATCTGGCCAACTAGAGCCTACTTGCGAGGTATTCACGCAAAAAATTTACTTTTTTCATAATTTTTTAGAGCGCAAATGCACACGCCAAGATCAAACATGCAAAAAATGGCCGTTACACCGCTTTGTACGCCAAAACGTCCATTTTCCGTCCGCGTCATCGCATCTGGCGTTTGCTGCATTTCCAAAACCCGAATTGGATGGTGACGACAGATAGATAGATAGACAGACAGACGGGCGGGCAGAGAGAGAGAGAGAGAGAGGGAGGGAGAGAGAGAGAGAGAGAGAGAGAGAGTGAGTGAGTGAGAAAGTACAAGCGAGAGGGAATAATCACTTTTCTGACTGGAAAATTTGCGTTTCGTGTTTCGGGCCGTGATGTAATTTGCGCAAATTGCCTTTTCCGAAGCATCCTCGACTTTGCGCGCTTTATGCGCGGAGTCAAATGCAATTTCTGCGAATGACGGCGAATAAAGGGGAGGATGGGGTCGCATTGACGAATCGCACTCGAAACGCCAAGCACCAACGCGACCGCCGACGTGGCATTATTTTTTATCATTATCTTGTAATGAAATTGCGATCGTGGCTATCATTAACGTAATTACCAGTCGCTCGCGTGTCGTACGCGTTTCGCGTTTCCGTGCGCCCACGCAATCGAGTGATAATTACTTTTATCGCGCGCGCGCGCGCGTGTGCATCGATGAGACTATGCGCGCCATCCAATTGACGGCTTCGCGATTTTAAAATTGGCATTTTTGTACACGCTCATTGGATCATCGCTGCGCAGCGTGTTTGCGGGGATACACATAGAAGTGTCCCTCTTCGATTATCAGCCCTTAAGGCGATGCTGGATACCGACATAACATGCACGCAGAAAAATAATTTTGCTTTTTTAGCAAAATCGTCTTTGCTACTGCATATTCGTAGTGACATCGAAAAAATTTAGTTGACGTAACTAATTTTACAAAATATTCGTTATCAGAGCAGAAGTAGTTTCGTTGCTACGATAAAAAAACTTTGTTGAGTATATTTGTCCTAAGAATTACGTTAATTTGCTGTTGATACAAATACATATTTTTCTTTGTGTAGTTTTCACTTTTCATCTAATTGGGTGTATCATATTGAAAATGTTTTTACAAGTGAAAGTACAAACGTTAATGAATCGCTAATGCTAAACAGTTGCATGAAATCAACAAAAAACTTTATTTACCGATGGTCGGAAAATAAAAAATTTTTGTTCATTTGATGCAACTGTTTAATATTAGCCATTCACTAATGTTTGTATTTGCATTCTATACAAGCATTTTCAATTTGATGCATTCAGAAGAAAAGTGGAAACTACATAGTTGCGTTATGACGGTATTCAGCATCGCCTTAAGTGATAGGCCTGGAAAAACTCCACGGAAAATTATTAAATTTCTTTTAATTTGCTTTAACTATTGTATTTATTTTCAGAGAGAAAAAAAATTAAATCTAGATAATATCTTATAAGAAATATACTCTAAGGAGAATCGCGCAGTCATTTTAAATCACTACTGAAAGAGTTAATGGACCTCGGATAGAAATCAAATAAAAAAATCAAGAGACATCATATGTTTTCACTTTTAGAGGTTGAATTTGTTGGTTATAGACCAATAAAAACGTATGAAATATTCATAAAAATTCATTGTGAGCAAATATTCATGAAAATTTATTGTGAGCAAATATTTGCGAAACTGTGATGTGTATAAAAACATATTTTAGCCGAAAGAGTTTTCTGATATTTTCTATATTTTACAAATCCTGATTCCACACCGTGGAAAAATCACATTAAAAAATATCATATAGAGGTCGGGAGTGTTATTTGAAAGAGAAATGACACTTGAAAAATAAAAATCTACAATCCTAAAAAGCATCAAGTACCACAGGATTCTTGCCTCCATGTGCAGCATTATATGCCCCCGTAGTCTCGAAAACACAACCCATTCAATCGAATCAATTTCGTCGAATCGAAATTTTGTGGGGTCGTTCTAACCCCTAACAAACGCTCGTCTAACATGCCCGTACACAGAGAAAAATAACTTTGCTCTTTTAGCAAAATCATCGTTGCTACTGCATATTCGTAGCGACATAAAAAAAATTTAGTTGACGTAACTAATTTTACAAATTATTCGTTATAGCAGAAGTAGTTTCGTTGCCAGCATAGAAAAAATTTTTTGAATGTATTCGTCCTAAGAATCACGTTAATTTGCTATTGATGCAAAATAATGTATCCTTAGCAAATTTATTTGCTATCGGAGCAAAACTGCAACTGCTTATATAAATCCATCATGCTTATAGCAAAATAATTTGTAGATTCAAATTATATCCAACAAACAGTGATTAGTACTCTTAGCAAATTTTTTTGCTGTCCATACAATAACGAAAAGATTTTGCTAGACCAGCAGAAAATTTGCTGCTCCAGCAAATTATTTTTCTCCAGGTAACAAACGCCCGTCTAATATACCCGTAGGGCTCGTCAAGATCGGCCAGGCACTGTTTCACATCGCGCATTTTCTCTTACTTGCGTAAGAATGACAGAAAGGTGTACGCGACCAAAGTCCTCGAGAGCGAGTCCATGAGAATACACAACGCGTGGCGAGAATTGTGTTTAACGGTACCTTGGGATCGCGCGCGAGGAAAGTTCGGCGGCTCAATTATTCAAGGCGCGAGGGGTCCCGTGCGCGCAGACTGCCACCGCACCTGGGAGTAACCATTTTAATTAATCGTTTAATAATATAACGCGGGGTGCCAGGAAGCTCGTCGTTGCGCCGGTTCGTTCCGCGGAATGTCCGCGTCCCCAGTGGCCCTCAGAAATTCATGCGATTGCGGTGTGTCGTTCCGTTACCTCGCTACTTCGATCTCTCTCTTCCTAACCCTCAAACACGAGGGAGAGAGAGAGAAACTTCTTTCGCTATCTCTTTTGTCACTGCTGTTGTACGTTTCCATTTCCTTCACCGTCGCTTAGTTTACTCTCGAAGATAATTTGGAAGAAGAAGAGGAGAGAAAAGAAAAAGGAAATCGACTGCGTGATATCGCATAAAATAAATGAAAACAATTCCGCCAAATAAAATCGCAATGAAAAGAGCTCGGGATATTTTCTCTCCGCTCTAATTCCTCTTTTTCTCTCTATTTCTCTCTATTTCTCTCTCTCTCTCTCGTTCTCGAGCGGAATTCCGTTTTCTTCCGCGGCAGCCTTATCCCGACCGTGGAATGGAACAAGCCGTGGCCGAGCGCAACCGATCGGAAACTTAATTCTCGATTATTCGCGCCACTTAATGGCCGCTCAGTCATCGATCGTTGGCCGCGAACGATCCTCTTATCGGGCGGTTAACGCCGGTACTCCCAACAGTCCCGATATCGCCCGGCGCCACCGGGTGAATCCCGCGAGATTTCCCGCCGACGAGGCAGGGGGAGGGGTGGAAGAGAGAAGGAAGCGGAAGAGCCCGCGAGTTGTTCGCGAGCCGGACGGGACCGCCCGATATTTCCCGTGTCGCGCGGAGCATATCGAGGAGGAGCCGGTCGTATCGAGATGAAAGAGAATAAATAGCGCCTCTGCCCTTATATTGGGCTCGTGTCTCGGAAAAGCGAGACTCGCGCGTGCGCACGTACACACATATACACGAACACACATTCGCACTTGGCGGCTGAAAGTTTTCCGATGTCCCTTCGGAGCCAGTATCGCCTCTTCCTGCTCGGCGACCGAAATCGAGCGAGAGACGACGCCGATACCTGGGATATATCTCTCTGGGAATCGGCCAGACCACCAATAATAACCCTAACTGTACTTAATACATCGATACTAGACCCCGAATGCTGCTTTAACCCTTCCAGAAGTCTTCGAGCCGTACTCTCGGCGAAACCTTTCATTCCGGCGATTCGCATGTCGAGCGTGCCGCACTTGAGACGATGCTTCATTCGGTTAGTCAGAAAGTTTCTCGGCAAATCGACTACTCGTAACTAATTTATGTTGCCGGTGACAGAAATTACCTCTTGCTTGGTGAATAATCCGTTTCCATCGAATGCAATAAAGTCAAACCTGCCTCAGGAAATAAATCCGACTTCTTGATTGACACAACGTGTATTTTATTTATGTGTTATAGCAACATTTAATAAGCAATTTGGTGCCTTCTTTATTCCCCGAAATCGTATTTGTTTATTTTACTACCGTCGTAATTCGTGTCGGATTTATTGTAGGAGGGTACGGAAAAGAGGGGGGAGGAAGTACAGAAATAGCTGCGCTGCACGCACAATTTGAATATTTCAAATAACTAACAAAGAATCTAAGGCTAATGAGGGGCGAACACGGATGTAGTAGTGTTATTTTAATATTACAAATGTATAATATCAAGATAATATAAGAACGTGTAATATAAAAACGTATGATATTTATAAACATATGATATTTATAAACACCAATGTTGCGAGGAATATTAACGATGCCTCAGTGGCCGAATTGG